GCGTTTTCTTGAAAGCTGGTGATCGTCGTACTTACTACCTATTTGTTTTCGTACACCTTTGGTCATGATAACCTTGTTCGTATCTGACTCCCTGAGAATCCTATTCAATTTTATGTCAACCGGACATTTGGATCCGGAGATACGATAAAAAGAAGTTGAATTTGTTGTACCAGAAATGAGTTTTAGTCAACAAATGTCGGCCTGTTAGTGAGACAACCACTTCGGCCTAATAATCCATTCGTACTTTGCGCGACCTTAGGGTTTCGTACTTCGGCCTGACAACCGAGAACCGTTTAATAGAAAGAGCGGTTAGATGCACACAAGAGGTGTGAGTGCTATCAAAAATATTCTATTAACACTGCACTTTTTCCTTTTTCATACATCACGCAGTGGACAAGAACACGCTGTTTAGCGCACCAGCTAGCGTCGTAAAAGGTAACTAAAAACATAATTATATAAGATAAGTAATGTTTCATTACTAAGCAAGCAGTAGTAATTCATTCATAGCAACACGAAGACAACTTGTTGGTGCGTACCACTTTTAGGGCTGATTTGTCCATCTGCGCTTGACCAGGTTTAACCATATGGATAAGGGATATGGATTGAATGACGTAGAATATTTTTAACAAGTTTTTGACCACCCTTTCCCTCGTAGCGTATTTTGTTATACCTAATGCATGGCTGGTCTTCCCTTCTGGCCCTCCCCCTCAAATTCTACGTCATTTATTCATGCTTCCTAACAGGGTAAACCTGGTTTAGGATTTTAGCGCAGATGAAGTAATCGACCTCTAAAAATGTTTGACTGTTGCCTTCCCATTGTAGTACAGCTAATCAGCACCTTTTCCGCATTTTATGCAACTGAGTAATAGTTTCCACCATCAAATCCGACAGATGTCGCCCCGCCAGTGGTGGATAAACCAGTTTTGCGGTGTGGAGATTTTCGAAAAATCGTCAATTTCTCTTCAAAGCATGCTTCCAGCGGTGAGAAAATGTCTACATTTTGTTGTTTTTAGTAATAGTTACATTATGTAGAAATAATATATCGAACAAATTGCACCATTGATATTTTTAATTAAAAGTGAATTTCGCCATACATTCTCGAGTCGATTTTCGACCAGCCCATACGATCGAAGGCTGCTCGCCCTCTGGTCTAATTGGCTATCAAAACTAGTGCCGCTCTTCGCATGTCCGTCCCATAGCGAAAATCAGCTAATCGATAAAATCGCGTTTTAAATTTGCTTCGTACCATTGCTTCTTATGTGATGGGACAACCAATTTGACAGTCTTTCCAAACTTTTTCAGAACTAAGTTTTTGAGTTCATCCAGTATGATGAAAATATGGGTAATTAGCTACCATTTGTAATGAAAAGCTCAGTTTTGACGAAAACGACTTATGGGACCGACAATCGAAGAGCGGCAGAGTACTCTCCTGATGATGGATATAAGAACTACCGAAATGATGATGGTTTCTGAGTTTTGCACGGTTCTATTTTCAGATGGTGATAAATTTATGACAGCCGATTCAAATTCCAGAGTTTGAATGATAAATTATTGAAAAAAAAGTTCAAAATAGTGAGATACGATCTTTATTATGGCTGATAGGGGAAGGATGGGCATAGTGAACAGGTGGGGCATAGTGAGCATCCCGCACTTTGGCTCTTCATCTCCAGCTGCATGAAACAAATCAACTGGTAGTAGGTTCAATACCATTATGATATTTATCCTACCACCAACCAATTTGTTCCGAACGGCTGGAAGTCCAAGCTGGTGCACGGGATGCTCACTATGACCCACCTGTTCACTATGCACCTCTTACCCTACATGTAGGAAATTTATCGAATAATGTAATGTTATGTTAATTTTCTTTGCAACGTCATTGAAAGATAATGAAAATGCGTTTTTTGATGCACCGATATTATTTAGGTTATGTTTTGTATGATTGCAGATTCCTATTCCGAAATCGACGTCCAAGTCAGTCTGCTGGATATACTGGATTATGTTGGGGACTCCGTGCTACCGGATTTAGAGACCTAGCATATTGTGTTGCAAAGTTCCCATCCCGGGGAGCGGCCACATGAAATTGATGTCAAATCATCCCACAAAGTCTGCTTCAACAAAATGATGGGAGCATATCAGTGCTGTCCCTGATCCGTAAACAGTGGTAACCTTTCTCCACTGCACGAATTTGTTGCTACCCGAATTCGGAACCCGAAAAAGTTGAAATTTGCTCTCGTTCTGCAACAACCATGAAAATCTTAAGCGGTGGAGCCTAGGGTGGAGCTTGTGTTTACGTAGTCTAAAAAATCAACTATTTTCCTAATTGCAAGCAGTGATATCATGGAAGTCATTTGTCATTTTGAAGAAGGCCACTTTTCCTACTATTTTACAAGCTTTATGATCATTAAAAACGTACAAAACAAGACAAATTTTCAATTTAAAAAGAGAAAATTCTGATGTAATTCACGTTTGACAGATGTTTACATTTTTATCACCACTACGACAACAGCGTCACGGGTTGCTGGTTGGATTTCACTATAGCATTATTGAAAAAAATTAGAACACTGTTCGGAATGCATTTTAAAATATCGCTTCCATACCTTGGTGCGTAAAATGTTGAAATCATTATCATTTTGGTAGTTCTTGTATCCGCCGTCAGTAGATAACTACTGATGGTCAATAACTCAGGTTAAAGGTTGTTTTTTTTTTTAATCGTAGGGCGAAAGCAAAGAAATGCAACATACTAAAAAGGCATTACCAACCGGTGGAAACTAACGATTTCAAATTGGCTCACTAGCCTATTGGTCTCAAGCAAATCGATTAACGTACCCCATTCTAGTATAAATTCTAGTGTAGTATGTTTGTTTTGATTCGCTATGAAAGTATGACAGAAAAAAATGAGGGGTTCGTGGATATTCCTATGTTTCGAGGGGTGCATCGATTAGCTTGGGAACGAAGAGAGTACCAGAGCTGAGCCAAAAAGTTGAGCACGTTCCTTCAGGACCTTCTGGTCTTAGAGTTACCTCTATGGTATTACACCATGCAAGATAATTGTAGTCATACACGTTGCATGATGAGGATAAGAATTAGGCACACAGACCACGGCGGCAGAGCTTATATAACATTATTCCGACGAATTGTGACGGTAACAAGCGCGCAAGATAACCGCATTACCGGAACAGGAGATCTCTTAACAGTTTGTATTGGGTCCTATCAGGCATAACATTTGATAACGGCACAAAAGCATTTGTAAACAAACTTTCTAAGGCCCTTTACACGCGAACCAAAGTACGGCCACGCAAACCAACATCATCGGATAGGGGGCAACTATCACCTTTCCGAAAGTGGTATTGGTTTGCGTGGGCGTTTTTTTGGTTCGCGTGTAAAGGGTCTTAGAAAGTTTGTTTACAAATGCTTTAGTGCCGTTATAAAATGTTATGCCTGCTATTTATATTAATGTTAACATTGTACATTGCAATGATATCAAATTACATCATTAAAAAATGTAATGTTTACTGCAATGTTGTATTCAAAAACAAATGAATAAAAAACATCCAGCTAAACATCCATGATTTTATTGGATTGTAACGATAGCTTCTATTGTTCTTGTATACCAACTGCATTTTTATTCGGCATGGAATCAAATTACCTTTCCAGACTCGTATAATATTGCTTCCTTTCCGTATGCAGTCAGCGGAGTAATATTTCCCTCGCACAACCAATGCGAAGAGTTCAAAGATGGAATTGTGGAAATTTGTTCGAAGTCCTAAAACTTCATTATTTCTATATGTTCTGTTATGAACAAATGGATTCGCTCACTGATGGCAAGCTGAGCTTCTTTTTTCCTTTGATTTGATTCGAGTTTTCTAGGTAGTTGATCTCGAACACTATTTCAATTTCAGGCATTGAATGTGCGTCACCATACACGCAGAAAAATGGATTTTTGTTTCAGGGCCTAATGCATTTTGTTATTGATTCAAACATATTGTATCACTATGTCAACAAAACATGTTTTTGAATCAACAAAATGGTTTTTAGAATCAACAAACAGATTATTGACTCTACAACCGGTTTGTTGATTCAAAAATATTTTTCTTTGAATTAACCGAATAATATATTTGAAACAAAATCTAAAATATATTAGGCCCTGAGTCAAAAATATATCCATTTGAACTTAAAAACCATTTCTCTGCGTGTAGCCCTCGTCAGCCGTCTACGTGGTTTACAGAGAGCTCCTATGACGCATAATTCTTAGATGCCTGCACTGCACTGCACTGCCTATAATCGCATATCAGTCCCATATGGATTTTCGTCAATTTTAAGATAACAACGACATCAATTGACATCTACTTTCATATTATGTGATAAAACTATGGACTTTGATCATGAAAAATATGAAAACAACATCAAGTCAGCTTGTCCCATCAAGCAAAGTAATCGCATATCAGTCCCATCCTGAAATTCAATCGCCAATAGTTCAAGTTAAAGTTCTGCTTTTCGAAATGCCATATTTTTCGCTGATAAAACATAACATGCAAGCTTGATTGTGATAGATTTTAACTTGAAAAAAATATCAATAAATTTACTAGGATTTTTCAAATATTTACATGAGAATTGCACTTCGTAACTTCGACTGCCATTTTCTCAATGCCTACTTTTTCCATATGGGACTGATATGCGATTATAGGCAGTGCACCCAATAAAATAAAAATTTAAAGATCAGCTTGTGAGTTAAGAAATATTATTTTTAAAATACTTAAAATCTTCTGTGGCGGTGGCGGACAGGTCTAGCGTCAACCATGTATACTTTAATCAAAACGTTTCTTTTAATGAACCCCTGAAGTTTAATTTTGAGTTTCGAATTTTGTTCGATGTTTTAGATTTCTATTTTCTGCGATAAAATAAGTCGCTCGAAAGCAATATTTTGTCTGCCTTTTTCAGCAATCAACTCCTTCCGAACTTTCTCAAGGTCGTCTAACCACATTCTTTTTTCCCCATTGTAGAGGTAAAAGTACTACCCTATATTGCACAACCGGTGTATGACATCCGTCAGACGGGTGATGTGGTCTTCGGGCCAGGAACAAGATCCGCCCTTCTCGGCATCTTGGGAGGAGCCCTTCCACGTTTGACCACCGAGCAGCATGAACTGGTCACCCGCGCCAAAAAGTACGCTATGGAACAAAGCATTAAGATGGTGCTGATGAAGCAGACTCTTGCCCACCAACAGCAGCAACTGGCCAGCCAGCGGACCCAGGTTCAACGTCAACAGGCGTTGGCCCTCATGTGCAGGTTGGTAGCATTTTGTTTTTTTATTTCCTACCTATTAGGGTAGATGTACCAGTTAAGGCTATAGCTTCCTATTATGGTGTTCCCATAGGCCATAATTGAAACACACCATAATAGGGACGTCATTACTGGTACATCTACCGTAAGTACTGCGGCTAAAGCAGTGACGATGATGTGAAACATTTTTTAAAAGAGAGACACGACCGTTGAGTCCTGGCTTTGAACGCTAGATGCATTCCGTTCTTGGATGACCTTTTCTTTGCTGATAAGATCTGAGGTCACGAAATAATTTCAGTAGTCATAAATTTTCCCCTTTTTGGAGCATTGGTCGTAAAGTAATTTTGCGTTTTGCTTTCAGAGTCTATGTCGGTAGTATTTCGTTCGAGTTGAAGGAGGACACGATCCGAGCTGCTTTCTTGCCGTTTGGTCCGATCAAGTCGATCAACATGTCCTGGGATCCGATTACTCAAAAACACAAGGGCTTCGCTTTCGTTGAGTATGAAATTCCCGAAGGAGCGCAACTTGCTCTCGAACAGATGAATGGAGCTATGCTCGGTGGCCGTAACATTAAGGTTGGTCGCCCAAGCAATATGCCACAGGCTCAGCAGGTGATTGACGAAATCCAAGAGGAAGCGAAAAATTACAATCGCATCTACATTGCGTCGATTCATCCGGATTTGACGGAAGAGGATATCAAGAGTGTATTCGAAGCATTTGGGCCTATAATGACGTGTAAGATGTCGCAGGGTAGCGCTGCTCATACCCACAAAGGATACGCGTTCATTGAGTACCAGACGAATCAGTCGGCGATTGAAGCTATCGCCAGTATGAATCTTTTTGATTTGGGTGGACAACTATTAAGGTAAGTGAAACTTACTTCAAAAAACGTTTGATAATCAAAAATTTAACGATGTTTTTTTTTATTTTGCTGATAATTTTATAGAGTTGGTCGTTCCATTACTCCACCGAATGCATTAATGGGCCCGGCAGCTAATTCGGCGATGCCAACAGCAGCTGCCGCCGCTGCTGCTGCTGCAGCAGCTGCTGCCACAGCTAAAATACAAGCTATGGACGCTGTTGCAACCAACACCGTGCTAGGCCTATCGGCATCATCACCACCTCTTATAGTTGGTCTTGGTGCTCTTCCCATACCCCAAACCATCACTTCGGCTGCCAATGTCAATCTGGTAGCGCAAGCTCAGCTTGCGGCCGCCGGTCAAGCGGCTGTAATTTCGCAGCCTGGATTGCTCGTTCCACCGGTAACTAATGTTGCTAGCTTGGCCCCGTCTTTACTGGTCAATCCGGTTTTGGCCAATGCGGTTAAGCCACTGCAATCAGTATTAAGCGCAGCGAACCCGGCTGCGGTTGCTGCAGCTGCTGCTATTCCAAATGCAACGGCAGAAGAAATATTCAAAAAAGCCCAAGAAAAGCAACAGGAAGAATTACAAAAGAAACTCCTGGAAGAAGGAGAACCACAGACGCTGCAGCAACAAGAAACAATGTCCATCAAAGGACAAAGCGCACGTCATTTGGTTATGCAAAGGCTCATGCGACCACGCGAGAGCAAGGTGATTATTCTGCGCAACATGGTTGGCCCAGAGGACGTGGACGAAACGCTGCAGGATGAGATTCAGGATGAGTGTGGTAAATACGGTATTGTGGAGCGGGTCATTATCTACAAGGAGCGCCAGTCCGAAGGCGATTACGCCGAGGACGACAATACGGATGTGATCGTTAAGATCTTTGTCGAGTTCTCTCAGGCCGCCGAAGCAGATAAAGCCCGCGAAGCACTCCATGGTCGCTATTTCGGTGGCCGTCTGGTCAAGGCCGAATCCTACGACCAAGCGCTCTTTGACCATGGTGACCTGTCTAGTTAGGAAAACAAAAAAAAAATCGACAAAGAGCGTGGCCACACTCTAATCCACCATTGAATCCCCGAATGCGAAGCGTTTCGTGTAGTATGACAAAGCAAACTTATTTCGAATGAAAGTAGCTATCACCCCAGCGCCAGTCAGGACTAAGAATAAAGTGTATGATCTATTTTATGATTCACTATTTACTCGTTGCGAGAGCATGAAAAGAGCAAGCCACAAATACATCTTGGAAAATTTACACCTAAGGACACAGACACACACATGTTGGGACACAAAGGAACAACATGAACACGATTATGATTTTCAAAGAAGGAAACAATTTATTAATCCTACTAATATAATTGTATATATATACAATTACGCTTCTCTTCAGAAACAAATAAATTACTCTATTATTTTAAAAACTTACACCAACTGAATTAGTTAGTTTGTATCACATTCCTTCTACTTTTCGTGTTTCTTCTTTCCAGGCATTATCTCATACTCTTCGTACTGTGGGAACGAACCCATGCCAGTAGTCGTTTTCTGCAGCTCTGCTGCATCCGTGGGTTTACTATACTTTGCTTCCAATTCAGCTGCGTTGCGTTCCTTCATTTTCATTATTGCTAGATTACGCGTAAGCTCCTCTGCGGTCGGGGGTTCCTTCCTAGAATAATGAGATATAATATAAATAGAATTAGACTTTAAATAACTACCGGAAATGAAAATAATAAAGCAAGAAGATGACGAGTAGCCGGTAAAATGAGAGCCTTAAAAATGTCCCAGAAAGTACAACTGTTTTATGGAACATCATAAGTTTTTATACACTATGGATTTTATTCAATTTTGAGATAACAACGCTATACATCAATTGGCATCTACTTTCATATTACGTTATAAAACTACGGACTTTGATCATGAAAAATATGAAAACAACATCGAGTCAGTTTGTCCTATCAAGCAAAATAATCGCATAGTTCAAGATAAAGTTCTGCTTTTCGAATTGCTATATTTTTCGCTGATAGGGGAAATGGATGTAATGTCGGCCTAAATGCCCCATACACAAATTCAGCAATCGACTGAATTTTCAATAGCGACCAAAAATATCTATTAGTACCGTTCCAATGACGTGTTCATCTTGATAAAATTGATAATATATAATCATCAGCATCATTGGATAGGGGAAACTTTCCTCAACCCCAAGATGGTATTAATTTGCGTAGGCGAGTCTTGAGTCACGAGAAAAGGGGTTCCGAAGTTTTGTTCGCAATAACTGATGTGCTCTTTTCTGTTGTTGGTCGTGATCTGCTCGATTGCTTCCGCTATTTGACAGGTCAATTGGTTCCCGATAGAATATCATATCCGCCAGACTATGAATATAGCGACTATAATATTTACATGGGAATTGCACTTTGAATCTTTGACGGTCATTTTCGCAATGCCTACTTTTTTTCATATGGGACTGATATGCGATGATTTTAAGAAATACACTGAAGTCTTTTTTACACGGTACGTTTTTAACGATTTCTCGACAACGATACAACCTATCGACAAATGGCATACTTAAAAAAAATCACATTTTTTTGTGTAAATACATAAATTCAGTGCCAACATTTCAAATATCCGCGAGAAATCGACGGCTCAAGCCATTGTTTACAAATGCAATTACGTCCCTTGGAAATGTTGGCACTGAATTTTTAAAATATGTATATGGACCATAGCATGCTATAATTACAAATGGCATCAACATCCGATGTTTTATAAACATGCTTAAGTGAAAAATCAAATCTCGGTAGGTTTTTTTACATGGTACATATCCCCCGTGTAAAAAAAGACCTGAGTGTAGTTACTTTAGTGACTGACATGAAAATAGTGACCTAGCCACTAAAAAGAAACCTGCTACCAGCTCTGTACGACGAACATTTTTGCAAATTTTATGTTTTTACATTATAAAAACAATTGACAATAATAGCAGGTCATTATAAGAATTCAGGACCGCATTAGCCACGTACGGATGGTCGGAAGTGGGCAACAACTAGTATGTGCTGAAATTCATAACGGGACACATCGAATCACATTCATTCAAGCATTCAAGAATTAGCTGCACCGGTGAACATAGGGTAAATGACGGCTTCGAAAATACCTTATTCTATTATCGTCTGGGGATAAACAACATTCTTGATCCTTGAGATGATAATAGGTTAAGGTATTGCCGAAGCCGACATTTCCCCTATATGTTCTATGGATCTATGAGTGTAAGTAAATTCGGACATTAATTTTTTTTTATGAATTATTGAGTGTCCGTCTAAACTATCTACAAAGGTTGACAGGCTAGTAGACTACACGGCGAATGAGAACGACTCAAATTTGAGTTTAGTTCACTCATAATCGCCAAAAGTGCAGGAACGCAGCGATGAGTTAAATTTGTCTCATGGTTTCCTGTGGAAAACCTAAAAAATCTGCCGGAAAATGAGGAAATTGACGAAAATTTTATTCAGTCTCGGAATAGTACCAATAAACTGAGTGAATTCAATCTTAACTTTTCTCAAATTTGGGATTTTTTCCCTGGAAAAACCTGGGAAAACATGAGGAAAATTTACTCATCGCTGAGTTCCTGCACTTTTGGCGATTATGAGTGAACTAAACTCAAATTTGGGTCGTTCTCATTCGCCGTGTATGTTGTAAGCATTGTACTGTTTTGGTGCTTTACAACATTAGGAATTGTACACCGAAATTCACCTTTTTTATATTTTTACATATTGGAATGCATTAAAGGAGTTTGTGTGACTAAAACCCGATTATTCAATAGTTAAACCTTCAAACAATCTGGTGTCCATATTACACCCACTGTCCGTCTTACCCCGAATACCCCTAGAACAATATACAGTCCTGTCCACTAGCTCGATATGGAGATATAGAACCATAAATAGTAAAAATGAGTTTCATGGCTATCCTATTATTTTTTTTTATGATTATTTTGCTTAATGGCGTGTGCGGAGTATCATCCAAATCATTTGTGGAATAGTTCAATAATTGAGTGGATTATCGTTCACACGTTTTTTCAAAACTACCTAATGCTACCGACGCCAGGGAGGCAGCTCCCACACCTGGACCCTACCTATCGACCCATCAACAAACTCATGATCCGGGGATCAACAGCTTTACTGCCCTTCCGAAGGAAGGCGTGATCGAGACATTATGCCTCAGAACATTCCGGCGGCGCCGACTGGGATTGAGAACCAAGAGACCTGCTGGGGTGAGAGGTAATCACGCTTACCACTACACAACCAGCGCCGCCTGGAATTGTTGTTCTCGATGGTTCTTTCAATATCGAATTGTGAAGAGTTTCATTGTACATATAAGGATAAGAAAAACATTTTGTCCTACCTTCTTCCACGCAGCCAAGCTTCCCATTCAGCCGTGACTTCCTGGTTGTAAGCCTCCTTCTCGGTTGGTTCAAACCATCGTTGCGATCGACGTTGTCCTAGGGAAGGATTAGCCGGTATCTCGTAGAACTTGTTCCCGAGATAATCTTCCCCCATTAAGTTTCCCTTCAGTTGGCGTGGTTTAAATGAGTTTATGAAGCTATTGAACAGGATTCTCATTAAACTACGCGTTGGTGGTTGAGCCATCTTTATGTCCGAGAAACTTAACACTGTTTTCCCAGATTTTCTTTACCAAAAACGTTTTGTTATGTAAAGTTTGTAAAATAATTATTCTTGGATGCGCAGTCAAATTATTTTGTAAACACAGCAGTGCTGCTGATAGGGCACGAACACAGCCAGGATTCGGGAATGACGGGAGAATGACAGCAAATTTTCTCACGACACACGGTACACTCAAAAATATTACTAAACGAAGAAAGATTAAAAAACAACCATTTATTACCACATATTGTGCTTGCAGATAAAATATGTAATTCATGCGCCATTCATTTGGCAACACTGCACAATTGCGACGAGTTTTTTCGTTCAAAAAATAAAATCTGGCAGCCCTGCGTCACGTCTCCAGTAGTTTCAACGTCGAGATTAGCGCAAAAACGAAAACAAAACATTCGTCATGCTGTGACTCTGGTGAAAATAGGTGAAAATAAAAATATTTATTTATCGAAAAATGGATGAGTAAGTTCGATATTACCATAATTTTGTTTGCTGAGAATCTTACTAACTAGTATTTATTTGCAGATCATTCGAGGCGGAGGAGTATTTGGAGGATGAAAAGGATACGGCTGAGATGCGAATGTGCGAAGATGCAGAAATCGGACAAGAAAGTGTAATGGAAAGGGAAAATGGCATGGAAAATGATAAAAGTAGTGTGGAAGAAGAGATGCCCCATGATCAGGAGCGCTCGCACCCAGAGAAAATGTGGGATCCATTGGAAGAAGTGAACATTGTAGCGGATCACGATGAATTAAGGAACGAGAGCGGGTTTCTGGAAACAGTTGTCGTCAGTGAACATGTTTTTGCGTTCATTGGCATTTTCTGTCGTAAGCTTTATCGCAGTCAACTGCGCCCAAAGGAGTGTGGAAAACAAAATGTGAGCGGAAATAGTGTGCCAGATGTACTGGATTTAATCTGGGGAGTGGCGAAGAAAGAAATTCATCGAGCGGTAATTTACGAGAACGAAGTTCCTCGCTGGGCTGATGATGACCCCAAACAAGAAGATATGGAAAGTTTTGTGACCTTACAGGACACCGAGAAGAAGAAACTTTACATCGTTCCTGCAGTCACACCAAGGGTGCTGCGAAATTGGCGAGGAAAAACCATCAAAATTGTTGTGCATGTTTATTCAACTAACGTTGAAAACAACACCCAGTATCAGCAAGTGCATCGAAAGTTGATCGCTTCTCAAAATCCAGACCGATCTGGCGCTGATTGTACCCTGGATGAGTATACTTTGGCGAATGAGCTTCGCGATGGACATCCTGATATAGAGGGACACCATAGTTCTTGGTTACTGTGCGCGAATTTTATCAACTCATCACCGGCACATGAACGCGATCGACTGAAACAGGCCCGAGAACCTCCGCTAAACTTGGCGAAGTTTTTCCGTTGGACGTCTGTCTCGGAGGCAGCAAGACTGCAGTCACTAAGCAGAGGACTTGTCGTAGCAAAAACTGTAAACCAAAGCTGGTCCAAAGAAATCGCCGAGGTAAGAAAGGATGCTGATCTTGCGCTGTCTATTCTGCAAGGAATGGTGAACAAATTGCATGTGATGGAATCTCGAGCGAACACGGATTTGGAGCTTTTGACGGCGATGACATCAGCGACACAACCCGAAGAATGCGAGCTTAGTCACACTCTAGCAGAAAGAGTCGTAGATTGTGCTGACTTAGATCATTCTTAGAGTAAGACACATTTTAACATGTAATGTTCTGTTTTATTATATATCACCAGTTCATTTCGTTATATTTCCTTATGATCAATGAAATAATGATTCTATTGTTTTAAGTCTGAATGAATCAAACTAGTGAAAGAAAATTAGGAGAAATCCATGATAAAATGCTTGCAAAGTCAACACGATCAATTAACGTTCTTTATTAAAAAAAAGTCCATTTGTCTAATGTCTTGATTCAAACCTTTTTCTGGAAAAAAATTTCCTCCCGCATAATACCCACAATGCTCAAAAATGTTTGTGCAATAATAAATTTTGAAACGGTTAATCGATGCGCAAACGTCATAGATCACTGATGAGTGCTCTACTCTGTTCCTAATAAGATCTTTTATCACTAATCCAAAAATTATTTCGATAGGATTGAAAAAAGGACAATATGCTGGGAGGAAAACTGGGATTATGCCGATCGATCTCAGGTATCTAATAATATTTGGATCACAACCCGTAAAAAAAAAATCCAATAATAATACAATGATTTTCATTGTCATTGTAACCATGATATTTACTGTCAAAACATTTTTTTGTCCATTACCATAAAATCACAACGAAATTTATGGTTCATAACAATGAAAATCATGGTATTTGAGAAATTTACAGTAAAAAAGGGGGGTTGTTAAGCATCTTAACAATATAAAAAAGTGATTTTTCGCGATCAAATTTGATCTCATCACACTAATTTTCGTTGTTAGAGCATTGTATCGTTCAAAATCGAAATCTATTTTTTCTCCCATACAATAATTTAACAGTAAATTTTAATGTACTCAAAATTCAACAGTAAAAATTATTGTAATTTCATTGTTATATTATATTTTTTTTTTTTTCGGGAATGGATCCTTGCCCCATCCATCACCCAAACCGAATGAAATCCTGGATAGTTTTGTACATGTTTATTATGTAAAGCAAAATTTCTGCAACATGCAAAGAATTTGTTTCTTGTAAATGTACCCTGTGTTGAAAAACTATCCAGCATCCCATTCATGCCCAGGAAGCAAAGTAAAGATACACGAGGCTTGCGACAAAATTCATCACGATAGATAACTTTTTGTCCTATTACCCCATATCCTTTCCGGCGTAGCATGTCGCGATTGTCGAAGCTAACTTCGTCTAGAAAAACTAGGTTGTAGATATCCCACTGAATACCCGAAAAAAAAAAAATTATAATATAACAATGAAATTACAATAATTTTTACTGTTGAATTTTGAGTACATTAAAATTTACTGTTAAATTATTGTATGGGAGAAAAAATAGATTTCGATTTTGAACGATACAATGCTCTAACAACGAAAATTAGTGTGATGAGATCAAATTTGATCGCGAAAAATCACTTTTTTATATTGTTAAGATGCTTAACAACCCCTCTTTTTTACTGTAAATTTCTCAAATACCATGATTTTCATTGTTATGAACCATGAATTTCGTTGTGATTTTATGGTAATGGACAAAAATGTCCAATGTTTTGACAGTAAATATCATGGTTACAATGACAATGAAAATCATTGTATTATTATTGGATTTTTTTTTACGGGTAGCCATCAGTTCTGTAACGAATCTTACAATTTCCGTATCTCTTATTTGAATGGCCCTGCGTTCAATTGTTTTTCGTGAGAGACCACACTCGTGCAAAATAGCGCAAATCGACGACACACTAATGGTAATATGGAATCGCTTCTGGAACCTTTCCTTAGCCTCATCCAGAAACAACATAGGTTCTCTCATGTAAAGTTGAGCCAACCAACTACGCATACCGACTCTGAACTTTTTGTACACCTGCTCACGTTGTTTACGCCGGAAGCGCCCATTCTGGTCGTACTTTTTGATCCAAGAGCAGATAGTGGCGAGTGATTTTCCATAAACAGTGGCAAGTCGTGATTTTGAAATTCCTAAGAAGTAATATCCATACAGTGCATGGTAAACTGTATTTACACTAGCGTGTTGTCGGCGGACACTTTGTACAATAACATTTGCCATCTTAATTATAATATATTAGAATTTACATCATCCAATTAATAAATAATTTTATTCAAATACTCACTTGTAAGCATCTTCATACAATACCAAAACAAAGAAAATAAACAAAACTATACAGCCATCGAGCTCGGTTGAGTCCACTGACAGATAAGTCGGAAGTGAACTTCGCGTCGCGAGTCAGACTTGCGAACTTCAGTTTAGTGGTGGCGCGACAATATTATGGTTTTTTGGAACTGGGCTTTACAAATAATGGGTTGTTAAGAACCATTACCATTCCAAATTCTTGTTTTCTCCATACATTTTCAGAAAGAGAATTATATACACACAAAAAACAAAAATTGTTTTAATAAAAATAATGCCATTACAAATTAAAAGTTTCCTAAATTTCGTAATTTTAACAACGAAAATATTCAAATTAAAAGTTATTTTTTTGGTTTGAAAGTGTTTCTTTCAGGTTCGACTTGTAATTTTAAAAGTGCATTTTTTTTAAATGAAAGTTGTTCAACTGTCAAAAATACATTTTCTAGGCAAGGTTTTTGGCAGCACTGGACCTCGTTTTGCCGCTTAATTTGGCTTAACGTCAGATGAGTCACGAAGAGCGAGGAAAAGTTGAGAAGGACAATAATTTTCCTCCATGGAAAATAATAGTCGCATCAGGTAAGCGATCAAATTTAAGAACAATAGTAGAGTTTAATTAGAGATTTTTATTAATTTCAGATAAACCGAAACCGAGACCGAAACAATAGTCATCTGCGAGCGGACGAGATGGCTAGGAATGAAAGTGAGTGTTCGACGACTACTACAACAGTAGATGTTAAAGGTATATAACAATATTTAATTAATATTCCACAGAAACCCTCACCAGAAACGGTCTAATTTGATACCTTCCTTCCGCTATCCGCTGCCGTAAAGTCTCTACTGGTAAACAATGACGCTGCTGACAATGCTGCAATGTGACATCACCATGTACCTGTTACTGTAGCAGGTTTACTCAAAGCGAGAATAGCTCCAAGACGCAATAACGTAAACATCAACAAAGATAACAATAACAATGTAAAAAAAATTGATCTTCTCCTATTGCAAAATAATAATAAAGAAGATTGAATATTTATCCACTAAAATTAAAACCAAAATATTTTTTTTTTGCCAAATAAATATTTTTTGAAAATATTTTAATTTTAATTCAAAATGCCCATTTAATTTTAACTATGCCATATTTTCAAGTCAAAAATAATCCACCATTAATTTCAACACTAATATATTTTTCATTTGACAGTTCTACAATTCAATTTGAAAATTTGAACTTTTAAAAGTATCGAGCGGACAACTTTTGAATTGACGGTTGGTTGACTTTTATTTTGAAAGCTAACCGCTTTCTACCAAAAAGAACCAATGCAAACTTATAAATCTACCAATGGTTTTTTTTAATTTTATAAACGACTTTTCTTTGTGTGTAAGAACGTTTTTACTTATGATTTGAGAACATTAATGGTAATGGTAGTCAGTAAGGTCCATTAATGGTTTTGTATTATCGCTCAACTTTACGTGGAATATATCGTGAATTGGTAATCAGTAAATTACAGGCAACCAATTCGCGATATATTCTACATAAAGTTGTTCGATATGTTACAAAACCATTCGTGGACCTTACTGACTACCATAACCATTACCATTAAAGTTCTCAAACCATAAGTTAAAAGGTTCTAATATAGTTCTCTTTCCGAAAATGTATGCACGGTTAGAAAAAAGTACCCAAAAGTAAGTTCTTTTCACTCATCTCGGCACTATAGCAACCGGTGAACACTCGTGTTTATTTCAGTTACCGTGGGGACGTAATTTGTGATTAGTCCCGGTCCCTTTCAAATTGTATCATTATTTATGTACGGTCCTTATATATGAAATGACGTTTCACATTCATCTAGTGATGGCCGATTTTCATTCGAATGATCGAATAATCGATTAACGAACCGAAAAGTAAAATATTTGTAATCGGTTATATCATGCCGATATAAGCATTAACTTCTCCAGAGGATCATCACAGATCGTTTCAAACATGTGCTGCACTCTCATTGGTTGAAAAATGACATCACAGCGAACAAAAAATAATTGATTAGTTGTTAATCGAATAATCAAAAAAATGGGACATCTCTGATTTTGGTGTGATTGTTTTGATAAAAAAGAGCGCGCAAAATTTCATCTGTACCGAGAGGGCAGCAAAACCACAAAATTACCTTGCATACTGGGGATGAAAGGGACCGTGAAAGAGGACACTAAAATTGAAAGTTTTTCTTCCGACAGTTTCATCTTAGTATTTATCTTTGACTATAGTGCAGGAACCAAAAAATAGGTAAAGCGGGTCAAAGTAGTTTTCATTTACTTGTGTGCAATTCGTATGGAATTTTCCACTAGCTTTCAACGCAAAAGTAAGTTAGTTGTACCCAACAGTAGGTAAATATTATTATACTCAACGTTGGGTTCCCACACTTTACTACCCCTGTTGGGTGGTTTTGCTCCTCCGTTTTTGACAACATTAGAAGGAGAAAAGGAGACAAACTAGTCAAAAGTAGGTAAAAGTGAACTGGCCGTTGGGTACTTTTTTCTTACCGTGTGGAGAAAACAAGAATTTGGAACGGTAATGGTTCTTAACAACCTATTATTTGTCCAGTTCCAAAAAACCATAATACATAAGGTTGAAACTTTATCATTAAACGTTCATGTAAAGTTCCATAACCATTTCAGTTAAAGTTTAGCAGGGATTATAAACAATTTTTAACCATTTTAGGTAAGGTCAATTTATGGTTCGCGTTTATGCGGGTTGGTATAGGCTTTGTCACTGGCCTGCTGTCGATCGACCGGTTTTCGAGAAGAACTCAGAAACGGTTGTCAACATTTAACTTCTTGTCTGTCAGAAATAACCCCGCTCGGATAGCAGGGTTATAGCAACAGTTATAGTACGTTCAGACTACAGAGCTATAACATGTTATAGCGCTATCTTGATGGTGGTTTCTGTGTTGCAATTATTTGACAACCGTTATAACATGTTATAACTCTCCAGTCTGGACAGCGTTTTAATCGATAACTTTCCATCTGTCAAATTTTAACCAAAATTTAAAATAATCCACCAAATGGTTCAAAGCCTAAGGCTGTGTTCTATTTGGTGAATTTTCACTTAAATTTTACTCTTCGAAAATAAATTAAGATGTTCGAAAATCCCTCTGTTGTTCATCTTCCTATTATCGAGAAGGTGTTTGTCTAAATTTATTCGTCGTCTGTCAGAAATAAGTCTGGTACAATAGCAGGTTTATTTGAAAATTTTACATCTGTCAAATTTAAGTGAAAATTCACCACAGCCTAAATATCCTCCATATTAAAAACTATAGATAGGGTCTACTGGACATTATATATCTAATAAAAACTATTCTGGCATCACAGGTGTCTGTGACAGTAGCACCCTGCACATTGCATCGGAAAAACGTTGCCCGGCTGTCATTTCGCAAGTGAAAATTTTAACTCAAAGCTGCATGCAAAAGGACAACACAGAGAAAAAAAAGCGGCAGTGGTGAAAAATCGTTTTAAACCAGTAAAAAGTGCTCAAAAGTAAAAAAATCAACCGCTGGATTATGAATGGTGCAGCAGTAATGGTAAATGTGATGTTTAATATGTAGAAAATGTGTTTTCCTTAGCAAAAAGTCTATTTAAAAACAGCATTTTGCGTAGCCACTTCCCAAAATCTATCATGGCGGACGTAGCTTTCTAGCTCGATGCTGTTGTTTCCTTTTTCCAATTTTCATGTGTGATAGTAGCTGTGAAGAATGCGAGAGTGGATCTGTTTGTTTACATCGATGTTTTCATACAATTTCGGCAGTGAACTGGCGTTTTTCCTTAAAATTCAGTTAACCTCTTGAAAAATGTTTACTAACTTTGTATTTTCCGAAGGGCGGTAACAACGAATACGCTAACAGTGGTGGTAGCAGCAACATCAACGACCCATCACCAGTACGTGAGGACTACCGGAAAGATGGTTCCGAAGATCCTTCACCGTCGAAGGCTTCCTCGACTTCATCGAAACGAGATAAAGAAAGTCGTGGACGCGACCGAGATCGCGATCGGGACCGCGAGCGTGAAAGTCGTGACCGCAGCAGAGACAGAGATCGCCGTGATCGACGTGATCGCGATCGGGAACGTGGTGAGTAAAAGATGATTGCTTTTGAAAATCTCTCGAAGAAATTCCTTGTGCAGGACACTATCAGCAAAGCAGTAGTGTTGTACTAGAACCAATAGTTTTTTTTTATCAATGTAAAGTGTTTCTGCACAAGGTTTGACCCGTAGCCAGATAGTTTTGCTGTTAAGCATTGGCATTTGATACAACGTAAAGATGAACCGGTTATTGTACCGTATGCTCTCGTTTGTTTTATAGGTCCCACCTACCGAATAGGCGAGTCGAATTATTAGCTATTCATGCTCTTTTTTATTACCATCCACAGCTTTTACATTTTGATATTTCTCTTGTCCTTGGTCTCTATATACTATATCGTTTTTTGTTATTGTTTAGTTCGTTTCTCACTAATTCTTGGCGGTTTTCTGCTCTTCTGCTTAGATTTTGCAGAGTCCGACACAGAACCGTATATTTCTCCTCTACCACTACAACTACTTCCGCCACTGCAACCAGTATGAGTGTGAAAGTAACAATTGAAATAGAAAAAGTGTCCCGCACGAACGATCGAAGACAGAGGTGACTTTCTGTAATCTTCTCTTTTCTCTTATACGCAAATATGATAACCTTTTTGTAAAGGTGAGGTGCACGAGTGTCACAAGTGAGTTATTTTGCGTTAGAGTTCACATGAACCATTTGCCCAGTGTTTATCTTAAGAAATCTATATATTTATATGTTTTATCTACATATTTCTTTACGTACGTACAAATCATGCATATTGACAACAGGTTTGTCGACAACTCTGAACAATCCACGAGTCTTTCGCTTCGAAAGGACCTTCATCAAGCTAAAGGTTAACTACGCCTCTTGCAACTGACTTGATGATTTGACTAGCGGCGGTGTCGCTGCAATGTACCGAATCTGGTTGCTTGGCAAATCCCTTTGCTATTGCCCTCTTCTCATTCAATTCTCATATCCAACAATATTCTTTGCCTTTCACCTTAAGTAACTTGAATATACATTAGGAGAACAGTTAGCAAAAAGCAGGGACCTTATTTCGCAAGTCGAATCGACAAAATTCTTAATACAAGCGTTCATACAAAAAAAAGAGCTCCGTTTAGACTTGCCCCAGGTATTATTCTCCTGTTCCGCAGAACGCTTGATGTTTTCAAACGTCACTTGACGTCTTGACCTCCCTACAGTGAGCAAAACAATCTTAAGAATTCCATTTCATAAGACACTTTTTATGAATTCCATATGCATGTATGATTATCTTATTACACGAGGAACTATGAGTGGTTCTTATAGTTGTACCCAGTTTGGCATAACTGCCGTTTGGCATAATTGTCATTAGGCATACGTGGGGGAAAAAATACTTAGACCTTTTTTTCTATCAGCGGAATAAGAAAGAGTAGCCCATAATAAAAAGAAGGGAATACCGCGGTCCCCTGTTAATCTGAACGACACTTCGTGTATATTAACGGGGTTCATTTTTAATCTGAACTCCTACACTCAAATAATAAATCACATATCCAATGGAAAATATTCATTAGAATTTCACATAATTTTCATGTTATTTCAATTGCACCACAAAATCACATGAACCTTATGTGTCAAATGAAATTTAAGTGATTTACATGAATATTATGTGAAATTCAGATATATATAATTGGTTTTGTTAATGGAAAAATATTATGTGGAATCCCAATTGAAACTACATGAAAACTTTTTTTCCGTGTAGTAACTCTATGACCATCAGAAAAGTGCATGAGCTTCTGGTAGCCTTATTTGCTGTTTTGTTTTGCTTCTGCGTTCTGTTTCGAATCGTTCAATTTCGCTTTACTCCATTCCATGTACTAAATAACGTTTGAGCTATTTTAGTTTACCGTTCAAACTAAAAAAGTGTTCAGATTAAAAACGGTTAGATTACCGGGGGTACACGGTATAATTATGAGTATTTTCTCTTCTTTTGAACATGACCTGTTCTTTAATACTTGTATGCGAAACGGCTATTCTTCAGTGGTGTTGAGTACTTGACACTGATGAAGTCTGCAAGTAGTAGACGAAATACGCGTATCTGTCAAAAGATAAGCAATTATAACGGAATTTAAAGGAAATAAACCAACCCACTCAAAGATCTTCAAAAATTTAGATATTTTCAGATAGTTTAATGGTATTCAGCGAAGTTCCGAGACTTCGAGGATGATCAGATAGCTTCATAATAATCCCATTAAATTCCAGAAATTTAGAAAACTTCGGAAACTTCACAGAACATCTATGGAGCTCAAGATGAGATCCGCAAACTTCAGGAAATTTTATGAACATTAGCAAAATGCGGAAGCATTTGAAAGAAGTTTAGTAAGCTCCGAAAATTTGAAGAATTTTTAGGGGGAAGTCAAAAGAAGTCCAAGGCAGTTTCATTAACTTCAGGAAAAATTTGAAAATTTTCAAGTGGTTCTGAAGACCTCAAAATAGTTCACTTCATATTTAACGGAGATTTCCTCAAAATCTCGATGAAGCTATCTTCAGAATTAAATTTTCTTTTAGTTTTCCTCGGAATTACTTTGAAATTCTTCACAATTAGAAATCCTTTGGAAAGATTCTCCGAGTATTCATTGTATTCATTCCAGATTTCTTTTTGAATCTCACTCCTTCCCTTGGAATTCTACTTACATTAAAAGTATCCTAACAATTCATTGGCATTTCTCCTCAGAAATTCCTTAGATTTCTTCTCATAATTTGTTTGGCAAACTCTTCTGAATTTATTTTCCGAATTCCTTTGAAGGTGTTCTGGAGTTATACTCACATTTAATAGTAATCCTCCGTTTAGTATTTTCAAAAAAATCCAAGGACTGCTCCGTATTCATTTTTTCCCAAAAACTTTATGAAATTACCCTCAGAATGCCCTTGGAATTCTCCGGTGAAGTTCACAAAAGTTGTGCTCCTCAGAAATTCCTAAGATTTCTTGTAATTCTACTCAAAACTAAGGCTTCATATGAAATCTAAAATTCCTCAGAACTACCTCGAAAGCCGATTGCATTTGATGTTTTTCTGAATGTTTTTTTTCCAAAGATCCCTTGGAATGAGGTCCTTATTAATTATAATAAAATTCCTCGAATCTTTAAAACTGTTCATGGAATTTGAATGCAGATTCTTGGAAATTTCTTGAAGTATTATAGCAATTAAGTCCAGAACTAGTTCCAATAATTTTTATTAGGAAATATGCATGTTCCAAAACCAAAACAAATTTATTTTAAATTTATTTGTTGCTAAAGATTAATCCAATGTGAATCTTTAAAGTTCAAAGTGTGAATGAAAATAACGAGAAAAATTAAATGGTTGTATTTTAAAATTCATTATTTTCTTTAAAATATCGTTAATAAGATTTTTTTAAATTCTTTGAGACTTCCAGGTAGTTTAAGGAAACAAAAAATTTCCTGGATTCCCGCTTTCGTTATAAACTTTCTATTGAATCTTTCGCTTTAAAGGTTTATTTCGTACATAAGTGTTTATGAGATAATAATTGAATAAGTCTAAAAAATCAAACATTTGGTGTTTTCTTCTCTTAGGTCACTTTTTAGTCACTATTTTTACAATTATAAGTTACTATTTGGTCACTTATTTATTCAACATGGTCACTAAAATCACTATTTCTGACAGCAGTGATCGCTACCAGCCCTGAAATTATGCCTTTCACTGTGATAAAAATTTGCGGAATATTTAAATAAATTTCTAAACAAATTGATAAAAGCATTTATATGGTTTATAAAACAAGGAAATTTTCGAATAATTGATCAGGAAAACAGGTAAAACACCAAGAATTTTAAAATGGAAATTCAGTTCCCGAGCAGAGAATGAAAACAAAATGTTATATTGTGATATAAGCGTTTTTGATAACATGTTTTGACAGCCGTGTGGTCGAGTTAACAGTAATCATAACAAAAAATAGGACTAAATTTTATATGAAGAATTCAGCGGAAATTTGCTAGTTTGATGCTCGTTAGTTGGGCCTTCGCTGGTTGGGGCATGACCCAATTAAAAAGCAACTGGATGTGAAATTACATTTGAAATAGACGAACCAGTCCTAGGCTTAAACTCTCTCTCTAATAAAGCAAAATAGATTTGACATACAAAAAATCCACTAGGGGTAAGAATACGCGTTTTGAACTGCGCAATAAATGAAATGAATGTAAGCATATGACATTTGTTCGAAAACTTTGAGTTTCATTTGAAATTTTGGAAGAACACAAAACCATATATTAAGCACATCAGTGTTTTACTTTTTTTTCCATTCAGCTTCAGGCAACTTCCTTCAATCTTAAGTGGTTTTTGTTAAGTCTTTTCAACCACAACAATGGATGCGAGGACCCCCCAACAAGTTTTAGCGTTCTGTCCATGCTTGGCATACACAGTTTTGGTCACGAACTGCTCATTTGCTAATACTGCTTTTTGAAGCAGTAGATATAATAGGGTTTAAGCTTGTTATATATACGTAAAAAGCAGATTTTAATTCTAGTAGTAAACTGTACTTGTTTTTGCGTTGTAAAAATGAAGTGAGAAATGCTCACTGCACATCTCGGACTTTAAGTGTAAAGACTCATTGGTGTTGATTTAAATGTTAATATTTACCTACTCTTTGCATATCTATAGTAAACTATGATCTTAATCTATCAATTACTTTAAAGAAAACCAAATTTCAACCACTGAGTGAAAAGTTATTAACAAATGAGCAGTTGGTGTGCACAACTGTGCATGCCAAGTCTGCTTCTGTCAGTTAACCCAAATCTGAATTCGTTAGTTGGGGCGTGGTGGTGGCCCAACCAGCGAATTTCGATTGTATTAAAAAGATCTTTCTTCTTCTTATTCGCATTTCAAGCTTATTGCTTAGCGCATAAAGGGTGATACGGTCAAAATTTGGTCAATATCAACTTGACGTATTTCTTTCAATTTTGCATTTAAAAAACCTGAACACCCCTCATTTTGAAGGTGTGTGTGTGTAGAATGTTGCTCCTATTTTGATTTTGGAATTCACT